GCCGCTGCCGTCGCGCGCGGCGCTGATCGCGGACTCGCGGCGGCTGTGGGCGGCGGGGCTGCGGCCGCGGTACGCCTGGATGGGGCTCAACCGGGAGGGAGACCTCTGCCTGGACCTCCTGAGCGGCAGCTACATCTGGCTGCGCCGCGTCCGGGAGGGCGTGGGCAAGGCACAGGGGGACAAGGGGGACGACGGCGCCGGCGGCGGCGGGGCCGCCGCTGCGGCGGCAGACGCCGGCGACCTGGTCGGCAGCGGCGGCGCCGCCAGCGGCCCCTTTGACCCCGAGTCATGGCCGCCGCTGGACCCCGAGGCGCAGTACGTGGTGACCCTCCAGCTTCCGGGCGGCCAGCACGTGCCCCTGACCCACTCGCGGGTCACTGACGAAGGCCTCTTCGGCCTGGGCCCCCCCACACCCACGGCTGGTGGCGGCGGCGGCGGCGGCGGAGCCAGCGGCGGCGCGAGATCGCCCTCGGTTGCCCCCAAAGCGGAGGATGGTGGCGGCGGCGGGCGCAGCGCTGCGCAGCGGGCCAAGTCGGCCTCTGCGGTTCAGGCTGTGCAGGTGCCGCTGGCCCGCGCCATAGCGAGGGCCGAGGCCATCGCGGGGCGCCTGCAGGCGCGCCGGCTGGCCTTCCTTTCGCAGCGGCAGGCGGCGCGCATCGTCGGCGCGGTCGGCGGGTGGAAGATCGGGGGCCACTACGAGGGGCACCACACAACGCCGGCAGGTGAGGCTCGGAGTTGCCCCTGGGGTGAGGCCGGGCGGCCGCCCTGGCCCAGTGGGCGGCAGTGGCGTGGCGTGGGCCGTTTCCGCGTCGACGCATGCCCGTCGGCCGGCGGCTGGAGAAACATGCAACGATGGGAGCACCCTCCAGCGAGCCGCACGGCCCCAGCACCACGCGGCAAGGCTCAGGCCAAGACCGCGAGGCTGAGGCCGCCATCTCTCTTTCCCACCTCTTCCCCACCTCTTCCCCGCCCATCCCCAGGCGCGCGCCAGCTGGAGGTGCTGCGGGAGCACGGCCTGCCCGTCAGCCGCCGCTACACCGCCCTGGACGCCCACCGCGAGCTCACGCGCCACCTCAAGTCACGCGGCCTGCCGGACCCGCCCGCCACGCCGGCGCAGGCCGCGCGCATGCGCGAGCTGGGCCTGGACGGCGGCGACCCCGCTGCCGCTGCCGGGGGGACGGCCCCGGCCCTCACGTTCGCGCAGGCGCGCGCGCGCCTGTTCAGGGCGGCGGTCGCGGAGGAGGAGGCCGAGGCGGGCGGCGCGCTGTCGTCCGTGAAGCGGCGGCCCAGGTGGCAGAGGGAGCGGCGCGGCATGACCTTTGAGGCGCTGAAGAAGCGGGCCAAGCGGCAGGGGCTGCGGCACATGGTCTAGCTTCGTCACGCGCCTTGGCAGAGCTGCTGCTGTTGGTGCACGCGCGTGTACCGCGTGAATGTGGTGGCTGGTAAATCATGCACTGGTGGTTCAGCCTGAAACCCCCTTGGTGGTGAAGATGGGCACGATCCCAGCAAAAGGCCAGGGCAGGGCGCCAGCTCGTCCGTTGGTGAGCGGTCAGCGGTCAGGTACGCTGTCAAAGGGCCCATCTCTATCGCTGCGCACAGAAAAGTGGCGTTCTTGCAGACTGCGCTGCGTTCCGGCATGCCGGTGGTCCACTGTGGGGTGACTGAGCTGCTGGGCAAGGCTGGGGTGGGCCGCAGACGCACAACAGCCAGATCAGAAGGCGGGCATGTCGCGCACTGGCGGGAAGACGCCGTCCCGAGTCACCAGGATGTGGGATTCGACACACAGCAAGTGCGTAATGGTGTGGTACTCGTGACATCCAGCGATGCTGCATCTGTGATGCCCCAAAACGTACTTGAACCACCGTACATCCTTATGCACAAAAAAGCCTGTGCCAGCAGTGCAAAATTGCAATGCGACATCACGGGTGTGGGCATCTTGGTACAGCTGCAGCCTGCCAACAGAAGCGAGCACCTTGGTGGGATTGGGCGCCGGCACAGCAGCCACCAACAACGCACAGACAGGCGGGCTGGTGGCCACCCCCCAACCCCCCCTCTTGGGTGGGAGTCACTGTTTCCCTGTGAGGCATAAGCCAGTCCCCCCTCCCTCTGAATGCTCAAAGTCTTCCGCCGTCCGCGCGCGCCGCGGCCCTCGAGGAGCGGGAGGTGGGTGGCAGACACGCGACGCAGGTACGAGGAGATCGCGCGCGCGCGGACGCGCCTCCTGACGGCGCTCGCCCCCTCGACAGCCCCGCCGTGTCAACCGCGCTCATAAAGCAGAGCA